GTGCTTTAGACACTCTAACCACCACCAGTTTCCAACAAGTGGACTCTGACTCATGGTGACCTCATGAGTGTCAGAGTACAGCTATGCTACATAGGACTGATACACTGGCTACAACAATGGGCTCAGGTATAGCAAGGATTGTGAGGCTGGCATAGGACCGGGCAGTGCTTTGTTCTGTTGTACACAGGATCACTATGAGTTGGAGGCAACTTGACGCCACCTAACAACAACAGGATTTCATGAATATAATCCATAAACCTGTCCTTTCATTGCCAATAACCTCTAGTGGCATATTAAAGTTATAACTTCATTTATAGCAGGGCTTCTCAATCTTGACCAGTTACTCTTTGTTACCTTGTACATTTTAGGGTGTTTAGCAGTATTCCTGGTCTCCACCTACCAGACACCAGTATGACAACAACAAATGTCTCCAGAGACTGCTAGAAGTACCCTTGGGGCAAATTTACAATATTCAGTGGTGCACTCTCATTACTAGGGCTGGTTCTGCTCACCTAAGTTCTTTCCTAAGGACTGTGTCTGCTGATATATAAACTAAATCTAGAATGCTTTTGCATTTTTCTAGCTAAACCATAATCAACCTTCCAGTGTCGGCTTACTATCATTTGTTCAGGGAAGTATTCCCTATTCTTCACCTACTTCTCCTTTGTAGTACTTACACAATTCTAACAAACCGATTGTCTAATTTAGCATCTATTTCCCTGCTAGAGTAAGTTCTGTGTTGACCAAGATGGTGTTGTTCTTGCTTACTAATATATTCCAGTGCTGGACTGTGAACCTAAAGGTTGGCAGATTAAACCCACTCAGTGGTATCATGGAAGGAAAGTCCTGGTGACCTGCTTCTACTATGATTACAGCCAAGAAAACTCTATGAAGCATTTCTACTTTGTAATACATGGGATCACCATGAAGTCGGAATTGACCCAACGGCAACTAACAACACTAGACATGACACTTAGATAGGATACATCAAAAGCAGTTAACATATTTATTGGGGAAAAAAAAAATCCCAATGGAGTAGTAAAATCTACATGTAATGAATTCTTACAAATGAATGATGTAAAAATCTTTTTTTTTAATTCTCAAATAACTCCATAAAATGTTTCATTTTGTTTTTAAGCACCTCACATCCAATCTACTGCCAAACTCTTCTACCTCCAAAATATATTCCTCTGGCCCAGCTAACATCATCTTTGAGCCAAATTAATTATCTTTGAAATGGTCTCTCTGTTTCCATTCTTGCCCTCCATCAAAACTCTCTTACATAGTAGAATGATTCCTTGAAATCATGTCATTCCCCTGCTAAAATCCTTTCTATGGCTTTCTGTATGTCTAAACTGCTTACCATCATCACTTGTAAGCCTCTAATGATCCAGTCCTTCTCAGTCTTCTAGCACTGCCCACCAATCATCTCCACAACCTCCACTGTGCTTTAGACACTCTAACCACCACCAGTTTCCAACAAGTGGACTCTGACTCATGGTGACCTCATGAGTGTCAGAGTACAGCTATGCTACATAGGCTTTTTTCTCATTTAATAATTTGCTATTGAACATCTTTTAGTTACTAGATACTGGTGATAAAAAAATATTCAAGACACCATTGGAACTCATATTTAATGGTACAGAGATACATAAACAACATTTTTTCAGTCACTATATAAATTAAGAGAACAGAAAAAATGTTGGGGGGTTGCTGGATGGCATCAAATTGTTTCTGAATCATAGCAACCCCATGTGACAAGAGTAGAACTGCCCCATATGACTTGTTTTATAAATTTTATTATTGTTGTTGTTACTGTTGAGAATATACAGAGCAAAACATACAGTAATTCAACAGTTGCTATATGTACAATTCAGTGGCAGTGATTACAGTCTTCAAGTTATGCAACCATTCTCACCCTCCTTTTTTCAGTTGTTCCTCCCTCATTAATATAAACTCATTGCCCCCTAAGGTTCCTACCTAATCATTGACTTGCTGTTGACCTGATCTCACACAGCTAGACTTAAAAAAGCATAATGCTCAAAACAGATGTTTTTCACTAGTTAAAATATTGTTTGGTTTTAAGGAGTTCTGGTGGCATAGTGGTTAAAGGATTTGGCAACTAACCAAAAGGTCTGGGGTTTGAACCAACCAGCCACTCCACAACTGAAAGATGAGGCAGTCTGCTTCCATCACTAAGAGCTGGAAATAAGTTGATGGCAGTGAGTGTTGTTTCTTTTTGGTTTTCAGGGGTAATTTTTAGTTTAAAGTTTAAATATTATTTCAGGGCAACAGTTTCTGAAACATAGGGTTTTCCATAGCTGATTTTTCTGAAGTCAATCGTCAAACCTTCCTGGATGGATTCAAACCTCTCAGTTAATAGTCAAGTGCATTAATCACTTATTCCACCTAGGGACTCCTTAGGCACTCTACCAAACCAAAACCAAACGCACTGCCGAGGACTTGGATCCAACTGATAGTGACCCCTCCTTGGGTTTTCGAGGCAGTATCACTACGGAAGTAGATTGCCCAGTCTTCCTTCCAAGGAGTGGCTGGTGGATTTGAACCGTCAGCCTTCTGGTTAGCAGTCAAGTGCCTTAGGCACTATGCTACCAGAGCTCCTAGCCACTCTATAGGGCAGTAGAACTGCCCCCTAGGGTTTCCAAGGCTGTAAATCTTCACAGAAGCCAACTGGTTGAGCAATCTACTTCCGCAGTGATACCACCTCAGAAACCCAAGGAGGGGTCACTATATGAGTTGGGTCTGACTCGATGGCACATAACAACAACATAGGGTTGCTACGAGTTGGGTTTGGATTTTTGGTATTGGTGTCCTCACAATGAAGATGCCTGGCACAGTACAGTAGTCTCAGACATGCAAGGGGAGGCATTCAGAAAGATCTCTGGGGAACATGGGAAAAAGAAAAAAATAAGAGAACTTTTGTATTGCCCTTTAAAATTCTCTAATTTTATATTTCATAATGTACCTAGCATAATATATAGGAGCTCTGGTAGCGTAATGCCTAACGCACTTGACTGCTAACCAGAAGGCTGGTGGTTCAAATCCATCAGCCACTCCTCGTAAGGAAGGTTGGGCAATCTACTTCTGTAGTGATATCACCTCGGAAACCCAAGGAGGGGTCGCTATGAGTCGGGTCTGACTTGACGGCACATAACAACAACAATAGCATATAATGCATACAAATACCTGTATAGATACATAAGCACACACATACACACACATTTAAAAAAAAAACAAAAAAAAAACCTGCTGCCATTGAATTGATTCCAAATCTTGGAGACCTTATGTGTTCCAGAGTATAACTGCTCCATAAGGTATTCTTGGCTGTAATCTTTACAGAAGTAGATCTTCAGGAATTTTACTAAGCTATTGATGGGGGGATAACGGGGTTAGAACTACCAATCTTTAGCTTAGTAGACAAGTGCAAACTGTGCCACCAAGAGACCCTACACACACATATATATATGCATACACATACACGTGCATACATACACAGATTGCCTCATCTTTCTCTCGCAGAGCAGCTAGTGGGTTTAAACACCCAACCTTTTGGTTAGCAGCCAAATGATTTAACCAATGAGCAACCAGAGCTCCTCTCAATGCCCAAATAGGCGATAAAGCTCCCAAACAGTAGATATTTGGTCTTGTGGTTCATTTCTTATCTTCATCGTCCAAGACAGGTCCTGGTACACAGCTAAACCCAAACCAAATTCATCGAGTCGATCTCGACTCATAGAGAGTCCTCTGTTTTCTCGTAAACTGCCCACTCCTCCTTCAGAGGAGTGGCTTGGTGGGTTTGAACCGCCAACCTTCTAGTTAGCAGTCAAATGCCTTAGGCACTACGCCACCAGAGCTCCCACAGCAAGTGGTCAATAAATATTTGCTGAACACTGAAGTTGAAGCACAAAAGTCTGTTTTTCATCCCTAACCCCAGCTCAGTCTCTGCGATGCTTAACAATATGGGGATCCTGGACCCCCTTAGCAAGTGGCCTTCATTATCCCTGTTGTGAACAGGGCTGAAAGACCTGGCTGTGAGAGAGGCCTTGAGTCTCCCCTCTGATCTACAAAAAAAAGTGAATTCCCGTCAAAGGGCGGCGGAGGAGAGAGCAGAATCTGAACAAAGCCAGTGTGTGTCTACCTGTCAGAGGAATCCGCGTCGTCAAACTGCCCCGGCACCACCCGGCTCATCAATAGCCGCCGGTAGTCCATGACGGAAACGCAACAAGCCCCCGGCAACACCGGAGGCCGCCTGGTATACGCTAGAAGAGAAAAGGCACAGACACAGCTTCACTGGCGGCCGATTCAACGACCTCTCCGCGGATCCTCGCCTCTCACGCTGTCAAGAAGCCCCTACACCACTAGCACCCGACACGTGCCCTGAAAGATCTGAACCTATAGCCTCAGTACCCTAGCCAGCACCGACCGGAAGCCCCGCCCCAACCGGAAGGCCAGCCTCCAGGAAGCCCCTCCCTACCATGCTGGGTTACGTACCAGGCGCTCGTTTCAGGCTGTGCGGGAGACGGGCATGCCTGAAAAAGTCAAGCGTGCAGAGTGATCTTTCCAAGCTGAGACCGTGCTTCCTTTCGTTTCTGCACACCACTTTGTGTTTCCTTCTGCAGAAAGACGCAGATTGTTCGGTCTACGGCAAAGAAAAACTCATCGCCATTCAGTCATTCAACTGGTAGCGACCCCTCTTCGGGTTTCCCAGGCGGTATCTCTAAAGGAAGTAGGTTGCCCAGTCTTAAGAGGAATGGGTCGTCCCCAAACAACTTAAGAACTGTGGGAGGCATCGTCAGCGGGAAAGGTGCCACACGGCGTTAACGCCTGACAGACGCCTCTCCCGGACGAGATTGGCCGGGCACAGGTGGACGTCACAGCAGGCTCGTTCCAACGCGCCTGGATCCCAACTGCGAGTTTTTAAAAGCCATCCTTGGAAAAGATTGAAAAATGTTCTCCCTCCCATGAAACCCAGTGCGGAGGGAGGAAGAATGGAATCCTTGTAGTAGATCCAAGAAACTCTGTATGGAGCCCGGAAGTGAGAACACCTTTGCGACTTAAAAAATTGAGTGCATTGTTTGGAGGTGAAAATATCAATGCTTTAAAAGTAATGCAGTCCTATGACTGGAAATAATTTGCAAACAAAATTTTAGAATTTTTGTCAGTGACTCCAAAGACACTTCTTTGAAGCCTACCTTAAAACAGCTTTAGAATAGTTCTGTACTATTTACCCATTTTGGATAAATGTCCATCAAACAGGAAAGCTGGTAAGGACAGAAATCAGAGTTGAAGAAAGTAAACTTAATTTAAAAAAAAAAAAATTGGCGGATCGTGCAGTGCCATATGAGAAGTGAACAAGTTGTAAAAGCGTGATTAGAAGTTGGGTTCACAATAAATTTTAAGAAATAAGATCCTTTCCTACTTTGTGTTTGGAAAATAGAACGAGGGTCTCTTTTCCCACCCAGTACCCTTTATGTGTTTAGAAGATAAGCAAAAGGTGAGCATAAAGTTGAATCTTTTTATCAGTCCTGACTAACTTGTTGGCTCACTGACTTTTATACTTTACTAAATGGTGCATAGATGTGAAAACAACTTTAAACAAATTGAGTAACAAACCCAAGCAAATGGGTAATGACTGTAGATTAAAAGGATTTAATAGAAATAAATAATTGGAGTGCAGGATTTATTCAATCAATATTCACTGTGGGGCAAAACTGGTTTGTTTGCTATAGGCAGTATTGAAAAATCCTGAATAGACTCTTACTCAAGGTATGTATAATCTGTAAGTACTAGCACTTGAAAAGGAGGTAAATGGAGGGAGCGAGTAGTTGGACCTGTGGGCTCGGTGCCGTAGTCTCAGGGGACATCAAGCTCAATTGGCATAATATTCTATACAAAAGCATTGTTCCACATTCTACTTTGGCAAGTAATGACTGGGATCTCAAAAGCTTGCAAGCAGCCATTGAGATGCAACAATGGGTCTCTCCTCATCCAGAGCAAGAAAAATGAAGAAAACCAAAGACTCATGGAAACAATCCAAGGGACTAATACACCATGTAATCCTCAGCCTATATGACTATGAGATCAGAAGAACTAGATGATACCCAGCTACCACTGTCAACAACTCAGAGGGGGATCTATGTAGGAGATCCTGTATAGAGTGGGAGAACAATGTGGAACGAAACTCAAAATCATTTGGGGAAAAAAAAGGGTGGGGTGACCAGGTTTGCTGGTCTGATAGAGCCTGGTGAAACCCCAGACACTATGGCCCCTAGCTGCCCAGCTGGTTTGGAATTGAACCCACTTCTTTCAGCCAAACAAAAGACAGGCATATGAGCTGAACATTTACATTGGGTAGATACACTCCTTGGAGAGATCAATCATGGGAGAATAGAAGGGCTGTGTATGCACAGGAAGACAGCTTGGGGGGCAGGAGTACATGGGAGGGAAGGACACAGGGAAGAGGTAACCCATAGTTACCTCTTCCCCATAGGAGGAAGTGGGGAGAGAGCTGGTGCATTGTGGGAAATTGCAGTCAATGTCATGAGACAGTGTATGTGAACTGCTGTATAGAGAATGAATTTGCTCTGTAAACTTTCAAAAATCACAATAAAAATAATAAAAAATCTGTCATCTTAGAAGAAGAAAGTAAGTCTCTCTCAAAAAAAGAGGGCGGGTAAAATGAAAACAGTAAAGGAATAGTTGCTGAAGTATTAAATACGTGCTTAGAGATAAATACATGTAGGAATTCAAATAAATAGATGAACGAGGACCAGGTAGTTGGGAAAGTTTCAGGAGGAAAGAAGCTCATGCCAAGGCAGATTACTGAAATAATAAGGCTCATGATATATTGCAGGGAAATGAACTTGAACTAACTAAAATAGAGTGAGTACTGAGTAGGTAATGTGCATGTTTTCATAAAGGCCTAGTAAGTCAAGCAGAAGAATTTGGATTCATTATAATTGGACATCCTTTCCATTGCATCCCCTGGCAGACCTGAGGAAGTCATGAAAAAATATTGAAAGGACAAATTGATGAGACTTGAGATAACTGAATAGCATCAAATGATGCTATTCAGTTACGAAGTCCTATCAATTTTGATAGAGGTAGAAGGATGCCAGGGAGCTCTGGTGGCATAATGCCTAAGGCATTTGGCTGCTAACCAGAAGACTGGCGGTTCAAACCCACCAGCTACTCCTCAGAAGGAAGGCTGGGAAATCTATTTCCATATAGATAACTGCCTCGGAAAGCCAAGGAGGGGTTGCTGTAAGTCGAATCAACTCAACAGCAGTGAATTTGGTTTTGGTTTTTGGTTTAGAGGGATGCCAAGAGAGCGACTCAAAATTATCAAACCTAACTGCCGAGAGAGTAGGAAATTGAGGAGGGACAATTGATTTGCAATTTGGATTTGACTTGATAATGAGATACTCAAGTAGAAAGTATGAAGTAAGTAGAAATACAGTGTTTTATGGAACATAAAGGAGCCCAGTTGGCGCAATGGGTAAGCATGCTGCTGCTTATCAAAAGCTTACCACTTTGAACCCACTTAGTCACTACTAGTGATCTGCTCCCATAAAGATTCAAAAAAAAAAAAAAAAACCCACTGTCATAGAGTTGATTCCAATTCAAAGCAATTCTCATAGGGTTTGCAAGATTGTAAGTCTTTAAAGAAGTAAACTGCCTCACCTTCCTACTATAGAGCAGCTGGTAGGTTTGAACCATCGACCTTCTGGTTAGCAGCCAAATGCCTTACCCACTGTGCCACCAGTGCTCCTTCCCATGAAGATGACAGCCTAGAAAACCCTGTAAGACAGTTCTACTGTATCACATGGCATATGAGTTGAAAATCAACTCCATGGCACCGAACAGTGACAATTTTATTCCCTAAAAAACTTGGAATCCAGAAAGGGAAGGGGTCTCTCAGTTATTTAATCAAAAGCTACTTATATAATATTATCAGAGGTCTATTGTTGTTGTTATGGAGCTCTGGTGGTGTAGTGGTCAACATATTTGGCTGCTAACCAAAAGGTCAGTGGTTCCAAATCACCAGCTGCTTTGCAGGAGAAAGATGAGACATCTGCTTCCATAAATATTTACAGTGTTGAAAACCCTATGGGGCAGTTCTGTTCTGTTCTATAGGTCACTATGAGTCAGAATCGACTTAAAGGCAGTGGGTTTGTCTGAATCAATAACTACCATAGTTACCATGGTATACTCAGACTAAAATTTATTTCTTTGATTAACTTGACAAATGATACTAAAATTTGGGGCTGGGAAAAGTAGCTTTTTGTTTGCATGTAGTAATAGACATTAAAATTGTTTTCTAAAGAGGCCTTCCATCATTCAACATTTAGGAACAAGGACTATCAACAATTTTGTTCTTTACCTTCAGATTCTTATGTTTTGAAGTGGATACTTCTCAAGAAAAATTAGAAAGCATGTCAGAAGCAGATGCCGTGGATGTCAGCAGTCTTTCTCAAGACTTAACTTACTCAGATTCTCCCTCCTGTATGGAAACCATCAATACAGCTTCAGGCGTGCCTCAGGTGTGTATTGTTCATATAAAAATTGTCTTCCAGATGAAAATTTCTTCAACAATACAGGGAACAGTAAATGTAGAGGTATGGGGTGGGGTACGATAGAGGGTCTGGTTTTCCCAATTCCATTAGTATACAAAGAAAGATAGAATTTTAAAGATTGTTAAAAATTATTCTATCTTTCTCTTCAAATAAAAAAAAAATCTTCTCATCTCATGAGGCAGTATCTCAACAGAACTAGATTGCCCATTTTTCCTTCTGAGGAGTCGCTGGTGGGTTTGAACCACTAGCCTTCTGGTCAGCAGTCAAATGCTTTAGGCACTAAGCCAACTGATCTTCAATCTCTTGCATGGGAGGTGAGAATTCTACTACTGAACCATTATTTCCCCCTTGCATAACCTAATATGGGGCTGTGGCATAACCACATGAAATCTCAAGAGGTAGCCTGGGGACATGGCCCCAACAATTGACTCACAGAGAATGAAAGCCCAAGAGGCCTGATACCTGATTCAGTACATCTACTATATTGATATAGTAGATATTGACATTGACAACACCCTGCATCTAAATGACTCCATTCCTATTTCATTAAAATTCCTAGTGACCTTTCTCACAGAAGAGATTTTAATGTTCCAAACTCTTCATGAATGTTGTTCTATTTGGCACTTATTAGCAAGAGTGTAGGAGAATAATAGGACTGTATGAGCTTAAACTAAAACTCACTGCTGTTGAGTTGGATCCGACTCATAACGACCTGGGTTTCCGAGGTACCATCACTATGGAAGTAGATTGCCCAACCTTCCTTCTGAGGAGTAGCTGATGAGTTTGAACCCCTAGCCTTCTGGTTAGCCATCAACTGCCTTAGGCACTATGCCACAGCCCCATATTAGGTTTTGCAAGGGGGAAATAATGGTTCAGTAGTAGAATTCTCACCTTCCATGCAAGAAACTCAAGATCAGTTGGCTTAGTGCCTAAGGCATTTGACTGCTGACCAGAAGGCTAGTGGTTCTAAGCCACCAGCCACTCCTCGGAAGGAAGATTGGGCAATCTAGTTCTGTAGCAATAGCGCCTGAGAAACCCAAGGAGGGCTCACTATGAGTCAAATCAACTCCACGGCAATGAATTTTTTGGTTTATTCCTGAAGCGCAAGCACCACCTGTCTGCTCATCTGTAAATGGAGGCTTGCATGGTGCTATAATGCTGAACAAGCTGCAGTGGAACTTCCATATTAAGACTGATCCACATCCAATCATGAGGATGGCACAGGACCAGGCAGCATTTCATTCCTTTATGCATGGAGTCACCATGATTTAGGGGCTGCCTTGAAGGCTGCTAACAACAAACCCTATGAAATTACCTTTTTATAAGTCACAAATGGGCAAATATTGACAGTTTCATATGATTCATCCATGCATTGGCATAATTTTCCTAATGGGCTGTTTAGTGATAGGAAATCAAGACTTTAACAGTAGTTTTTACTTATTTTTTTTAATTTAGCAAGTTTTTGTTGTTAGCAATTCTGTCTCTAGGAAGTAATCATCTAAATATGTTTGTAGAACTATTCATAATAACCAAACATTGGGGACAACCTACATATTCATCAGTAGGGGGCTCGTTAAATTATTATACATATATATGTATATATATATATGTTATATATAGTGTATTATGATTATTATTATGCTGTGGACATGTAACCTTAAATGTGATAATACAGATATATATTTGTTCACATAGAGAAAGGATCACATTGGCTCTCACTGAGTAGTGGGCTTTTGAGTGTCTTTGCTTTCATTTCTTATTTGAAGCAATCTTTTTATAATTATAAATTAAGAAAATTTTTCATTTCAAAAATTATTTTGACCATAATATCACAGTATTAATAAGGTTCCAAGATACTATGTACTGAATATTTTTCTTTATAATGAATTTATAGACCAAGGGAGCAAAAATGCATATTTTAGTTAGAAATAATAAAATCACAATTATCACTAATAAAAAACATTTTTCTATGGGTGGATGCATAGGTAGACAGGCTTAATGATCAGGTATATCTAGGCAAAAGGGAGTATACCCATGACCATAGATAAGTTTGGCAGATGACATTTCTACATGGGAGCTCTGGTGGCACAGTGCCTAAGGCATTTGACTGCTAACCAGAAGGCTGGTGGTTCAAACCCACTAGCCATTCCTCGGAAAGAAGTTTGGGCAATCTACTTCTGTAGACATACTCCTTGGAAACCCAAGGAGGAGCCTCTATGAGTCCTATTCGACTCGATGGCAGTGAGTTCTGTTTTGTTTTTATAAGCATGCTCATATGTAGAGAGAGCTAACAGGGAGTCACAGCCAACCATCTGAGGGAGCTAGTTGTTGGGCCTATGGACTCAGGCCCATGGTCGTGGGGGAAATGAAGATCAATTGACATGATACACTACACAAACATGTTGTTCTAAATCCTACTTTGGTGAGTGGTGACTGGAGTCTTAAAAGCTTGCAACCGGACATCTAAGATGGAACAATTGGTCTCTCCTTGCCCAGAGCAAAGAAGGAAGAAATCCAAAGAGACATGGAAACAATTAGTCCAAGGGACTGCTGGACCACATGACCAATCTACGTGACCACATGACCAATCTATGTGACCACAAGACCGGAAGAACTAGTTGGTTCCTGACTACCACAATCAATTGCTTGGAAAGGAATCAGTGCAGGAGATCCTGGATAGAGTGGGAGAAAAATGTGGAACAAAACTCAAAATCATAAAGATCAGGCTTACTGGTCTGACAGAGACCAGTGAAACCCTAGAAACTATGGCGTAGTGCCTAAAGCATTTGACTGCTAACCAAAAGGCTGGCAGTTCAAACCCACCAGCCATGCCTCAGGAGGAAGATTGGGCAATCTACTTCCATAGTGATACTGCCTCAGAAACCCAAGAATAGGTCACTGTGAGTTGGATCCGACTCCACAGCAGTGAGTTTGGGTTTTTTTTTTTTTGAGTCATCCTTAGGGCCTGCAATTGAACTTACTCCTGTGGCTTCTAGCCAAGCAACAGACAGGCATATGAGATGAAGAGTTATACCAGGTAGGTATACTTCTTTGAACAGTCAACAGATTAGTATTGGGAGATAGCTCAGAGAGCAGGAAAGAAGGACATAGGGAAAATGTAACAACAGAGAGGAAGTGTGTAAGGAGCTGTTAGATTATGGGGATTGCATCAAATGTCATGAAACAAAATGTGTATGAACTGTGGAAAATGAATTAGTAAAGTTGCACCCAAATTACAAAAAAATTAATGAAAAGTCACAGAAGATTAGACTTAGAAATGATCTCTAAAATTATATGAGTAGTGTAGTCCCAAGAAGTTGTATAAAATACAATATTAATGCATCTGAATAATAGACTTATATTTTTCAAGTGTATTATTCTTCATACATTTTTATCTAATTAGGAAGAACGGCCTGAATTAACAAGTCTGAATGAAATTACAAAATACAATCAGCTTTGATTACTTTCAAGTACATTCAATAAGTAGAACAATGCTTTGAGTTGGAACCAACTCGACAGCAGTGAGTTTGGTTTTTTTGGTTTGGTCATTTATACTTAATGAGCTAGCCAATGTTTTTCTTAAGTATTTTAAATGTTTTCCTCCCTGTCTTATTTATACTATTAATTTCTTTAACAAATGCTTTCATCTTTTTTTTTTAAAAAAAAAATTTATTGTGCTTTGGGTGCAAATTTGTTTTACATTCAACAGTTCATGTACATTTGATTTCACACCTGATTACCATCCCCAACCATAACAAACTCTCCTCCCCTCCCATCCCTGTGGCTACACCTTCCCTGTGTCCTTCTTAACTATGCACTCCTGTCTGTCCAGCTTTCCCTCCATGTGAATGCTGCCCCTCTGGTGTCCCACAGCTAATTGCTCCAAGGGGTCAATCTCCCTAGAGTAGGTGAGTGCATTGCCCTGGGGTAGGTGGTCTGCAGGTAGGTCTTTCTACTATTGGGCTGAGAACAAATCCATGGGAGTGAGTCCATTTCTAGGCTCGAAGGGTAACCCATGGCCATAGTCTTGGGGGTTCCTCCAGATTCTATCCAACCAGTAATTCCCGTCATTTTTGTGTTTTTGAATTTTGTTCCACATTTCTATAAACCCTTTCATCTTTAGGTAACCTTGAAAATAAACCCTTCATTAATTTTTATAAATTCCTATTTAGTGGAATCAGATTTCACCTTATTACTGGAACACTGTTTGATATATCCTCAATGTCAAAAGACAAGAATCATAACTACTGTAATGCCATGTAGACTAATATCAAGAATTATCAGTACAGATATATATGCTATTATTTATCCCTATGTATATGGTCTTTTCTCCTGCCAAGCTGCACACAACAGCGTTTATAGTCACATGATATGATTTACAGAAAAACCAAAATATTAAAATAACCAACATACTTGTTTAATTTTTTGCATTTTATATTGTGACTGTTAGCATAATTTTACCAAAAGAGAGCTCAAATATGCAGTGAGAAAAGATACTAGGAAACACATTCTTTCTGTGCAAGAAAAAATTCTAACAGAAAAATTACATAGCAATGTACATGTACCTTTAAAAGAAACTTTTTATAGTGTTTAAGAATTATTATTAATGCCTTGTTTTATTCTTAATGCAGAATGAAATAAATATAAACGGGGAAAATGAGTCTAAAACTACACTTTCTGAAGATATTTTTAACACACTAGACAATTTGATAGGTGGTGAGTATCCCTTTTGGACAATATGCGAAAGAGAAAAACTAAGAATTTTTGTGTACTTTAGTAATAACAAGGAGCTCTGGTGGTACAATGATTAGGTACTGAGCTGCTAATTGAAGGGATTTGAACCCACCCAGCAGCTCTGTGGGAGACAGACCTGGTGATCTGCTTCCATAAAAATTACAGCCAAGAAAAACCTATGGGCAGTTCACATGGGATTGCTGTGAGTCAGATTTGACTTGCTGCACCCAGAAACAACAAAATGATAATGAAAATAATAGCCAGATAGTGTACTAAATACTTTGTGTATATTACCTCTATTAATCTACAAGCAATTCTATGAAATAAAGTCTGATTTTATCCCCATTTTACGAATGAAGAAAGTGAAGCTCAGAGAGTAACTTGCCAAGGTCATGTACCATGTGAATGAGCCAGGATTCAAATCTTAGTCTGTGAAACCAGAATTATATACTGCACAAATATCTTAAAAGATGTACAGTTCTGTAAAGAGAAATCTCTTATTCTACTCTGAAACTGACAGATGAAAACTATTTAAGAGTTAATAATATAGGGAAACACATTGCTTGTGTTTATTGAAACAAACTCAAATACTATATAGAAATGTCTCTATTTTTAATAATTATGACTAATACTACAATTAAAAGATTTGTCACACTTTAATAAAATCATGTCAGTAAATACATGAAAGAATGAGAAAAACAGATGGTATATGGATTTAAAAGGAAAAGAAAAAACGGTCATTATTTCTAAATAATATGATTGTTTACTTAGAAAATTTGTGAGGCCCTACAGATAAGCTATTAGAACTAATAAGAAAGTTTAGAAGAATGCTGGATAAAGATAAATATTTAAAAATCAAGAGCATACTAATGGCATAGTGCCTAAGGCCTTTGAGTGCTAACAGAAGGCAGGCGGTTCAAACCCACCAGCCACTCCTGGAAAGGAAGACTGGGCAATCTACTTCAATAGAGATACTGCCTCAGAAACCCAAGGAGGAATCACTATCAGTCAGATTCAACTCAAGGGCAGTGAGTTTGTTGTTGTTGTTGTTTTTTTTTTTTTTTTGGTATACTAATCTACCAGTAACAACTAATTAAAAACTCACTGCCATCAAGTCAGATGTGACTCATAGCGACCCTTCCTTGAGTTTCCTAGGTGGTATCACTACAGAAGTAGATAGTCCAATCTTCCTTATGAGGAGTGGCTGGTGGGTTTGAACTGCCAGCCTTCTGGTTAGCAGTCAAAGGCCTTAGACACTGCATCCCAGAATTCCTAACAATTAATTTTAAAAAGTAATTTTAAAGAAGATATTATTATCAGTAGAAACACAACTCAAATACTTAAACTAATTCTAACTGAAGATGTTTAAGATTTCTATGGGAAAAATGATGAAACATTACGAGAGGATATAAAAAATAAATATTTCATGTCTAACTCTGTGAAGGTATCAGTTTTCTTCAAATTTAAGAACTAATGAAATTTCCTTAGGAAGTTGATCCTAATATTCCCATTTGAAAATGAAAAGAGTTTGAAAAATATATATACCCAAGACAATTATGAAAAAGATGTGAAGATTTATCCTACCACATCTTACAATAAGATATAAGCTATGCCATATATGCGTAATGACTGGGATCTTAAAAGCTTGCAAGCAGCCATCTAGATGCAACAATGGGTCTCTCCTCATCCAGAGCAAAGAAGAATGAAGAAAACCAAAGATTC